CCAGCTGGGCAGTGCTCCCTGACAATGCCTTCCTTCGGATGGTGGTTTCCTTAGAGATGAAGCCTTCTTCTCAAAGTCCGTGCCTCGCCCCAGCTTTCCCTCATCACCCCCTCGTGGTTGAAGCCCCCTGGGACCCCTTCCTTCCCTTACCCCTGTTTCCTGGCACCCGCTTCGTCAACCTTGACTCACCCATCCCGGCGGAGACGGCCAGGTTCATGCTCAAGAACAGCATGTCGTTCCCGTTTCCGATGCCACAGCGGTAGGACCCCCCATCCTCCGGGGCCAGCTGGGTCAGCCTCACCACAAACAGGCCGCTGTGCGGGAAGTCCGCCAGCGCCACGCGGCCCCTGTAGCGACCGTGCGTGTAGTGGTTGGTGGACACGATGGTGTGGCAGAGCCACGTCAGGGGGCTCAGGCGGCACCAGTACTTCCGCTGGTGCCTGTTGATGGACGTGGGGGTGTAACGACACTGGATGGTGACAGCGCCCCCAGGCTCCCCAGACACCAGCCTCGGGCCCTTCAGCGCGTTGGCAGCTGCAGGCAGAGAGAACAAAGTCTCAGGAGAGGGAGTGTCATGTCCAATCCAGCTCCACACTCTGCAGGATGAGGGGGCAGGTGAGAAAACGCCTCCTTAAAAGTGAGGCAAGAAGAATCAATATAGAAACGTCAGAACTTAGCCCCCCGGGCGAGGAGTAGTCTCAAGATCTGGCATGAAGCCACATCCAAGGCCCCATCTGAGAGACCAGCACACAAGAAGCACCTTAGCCACCACTTAGTCCACACTCCTCATGCGCCAGGTGTTCACACACAAGCCCGTGCAGGGCCTGGCTTCCTTCCGCTGGGCTCCAATGCAGACGTTTAAAAGGCTGCCATCTAAGCACGCGTAAGAGGGCAGAGGGGACATCTGGTAGAGGACTGCGGTGTATTTGCATGAAATGTAAAGAGAAATGTTCAATAGTAAGATCAGATCAGCGCGCTTTCTGCTGAAATGGGGGAGGGGGGTTGGGCGTGGGGAGGGGACAGAAACACAAGGATTCTGGGCTGATGGCGGGTCTCTCCCCAGACCAGGGGTTGCAAATGTGTTTACACTGGCCACCTTTTTGTAGAAACGGACACAACCACGGCCACGTCAAGGCCCAGATTTCAGGAACTCTCATGATCAGCACGTGGCATGTGTGAGAGGCGCTCTGCTCCGTCAATCAGTAGGATGGGGTGGTCCTACTTTGCTGTGGGAGGCTGATTAAGAATCCTGAATCTGCCCTAGCTGGTTTGGCTCAGTGGGTAGCGCATTGACCTGCGGACTCTCAAGAGTCCCAGGTTCGATTCCAGTCAAGGGCATGTACCTTGGTTGCGGGCACATACCCAGTAGGGAGTGTGCAGGAGGCAGCTGATCAATGATTCTCTCTCATCGATGTTTCTAACTCTCTGTCCCTCTCCTTTCCTCTCTGTAGAAAATCAATAAAATATATTTAAAGAAAAGAATCCTGAATCTACTTGGCAATGAACACTTTTTCTTTCTTTTTCTTTTTTTAAATATATTTTATTGATTTTCTGCAGAGAGGAAAGGAGAGGGATAGAGAGTTAGAAACATCGATGAGAGAGAATCATCGATCAGCTGCCTCCTGCACACTCCCCACTGGGGATGTGCCCGCAACCAAGGTACATGCCCTTGACTAGAATCAAACCTGGGACCCTTCAGTCCGCAGGCCGACGCTCTATCCACTGAGCCAAACCGGTCAGGCAACACTTTTTCTTTTAATAATACTGCATGTTACTGGCCCTTACCTCACTTGGTGGATTACTGATGAGTAGCTCTCAGTTGTCTATAATTAAGGTATTTGGGGTTTTCTTAACGGTTCCCTGTGAAAATTAAAGGAAGGGCTAGTGTTTCAGTAGGAGTGGGGTGCCCACTTGGGGTCCCTGATGCAAACTGTCTGCCCTTCAGGGGCAGAGCTGCCCTGCTCTTGTTCGCCCACCCTTTCCCAGTCCATAGCTGTGGCTTCTACTAGGGAGGGTGAGTGAGGCCTCTAGTTGAAGGGAGGCCCTGGACTGAGCAGGACTTGGCCTGAGAAGATGCAAAAGGTCCGTGGGGTTATCCCTGCACTGGCTCTCTTCTCCCACCAACAAAGGTGTGAGAAACGTGTGTGTGTGTGTGTGTGTGTGTGTGTGTGTGTTTCCCTGGCCAGGAGGTGGGGCCTGGAGGGAAGAGAGCCAAGCCACAGCCATCTGAGATGAGGGTCTGCTACGTGAGGGGCCACAGCAGAACCTGGGCACAGGGAGAGGGGCCAGCAGGGGCCATGTAAGGGTCCACAGAGGCACCTCCAAGAGGCAGGGTCAGCTCTAACCCCCTCCCAGGCCATCCCATCACCAGAGTCCCTGCCACTGCCTCTCCTCCCTCCTGCCTGCTGTGACCCTGGTGGGGTCCAAGTAGCAGCTGCCAAGATAGCGGGGGAGGGGGAGGAGGAGGGGAAGAGAGAAGGCGGCCACCCCAGCCCCCTTCCTGCCTTTCTGACCGCAGGCCTTGGGCTCATGAGGGGCCATATCTCTGAAGATTAAAATGCTGACCAAGACGTCTAGCTGGCCCCTTAAAATTATTACATTTAGCGTGTTTGAAACTTAAAGGAATGAAGTTAGGACTATTATCTACATGTCAGCAGAAAAGTCATGGGCTGCCTGAGTTTTCATTTGGGGACATGGGGAGTCAGTTCCTCCTGATAAATTAAAGGGGGCGGTGAGAGATTAAAGAAATGGTATGATTTATCGGAGAATTCTTGCTCAAATATTAGCTACCTTTGATTCATTAAAATTCTGATTTGTTTATAAGCCAAAAGCAGTAGGTAATTTTTTGTTGGCATTACCATAACATCTTCATCTGTTCGTTCGTCCAGCAGTTACTTGCTAACAATTTGTTAGCATCTACTTGGGGCCAGGTTCTAGGTACCAGACACTCTAGGCACATTCCTTAATGGCTCCCTCTTGCCATCAAATAAAGTCCGGAAACCACAGCATGACAACAGGCCACTCATCATCTGAGCCTGATATGTACCTGGCCAGCCTCACCTCACCCCCTGCCAGTGCCTTTAGGGCAGGGACTCTGCCTTACATCCATTTGTCCCTAGTGCCTGGCACATGGCAGGCTCTCCATAAATATATATCGACTAAGTAAGTATTTGCATAGACACAATTTTTATTTATCTATCTAGGTTTTTTTTACAGACACTAACTCTTTTAGAGTAGGATAGGGTCTTTTTCTTTTTATCTCTTGCACTGGACCTGATTGTAGAGTAAGTGGTCATGGAGCAGTGCTAGTCTTTTTTGCATACCCTGGAACCTTGACCTTGCAAATGCAGCCAACTTCCAGTCATTACGTTGAATGGAAGAGGGCAGAGAGTAGGGAACATCAGAACAGCGAATATTCTGGAAACCATCAAGTCAGGCATGTGCCTTCTCCTGGGAGTTCTCGGCTTCCTCGCTCCCCCAGGGCCCAGATCTGACCACCCCCTGGGCCCGCTGCATGGCCTTGGATGCCAGGAGAGAAAGCCATGGCGGTGCCCTAACTGCCGAGGGAGCACTGCCTGCCACCGAGGTGCCCGCCAGGAGTCTCTGTAGCCTGGAAGGCTTGGGTCTGGCTTTGCAAGCTCTGCCTCTGGGCTGTTTGGGACTCACCTTGCAGCAGGCACAGTATGAGGGCCACCTGCATTTTCCATCCTGCCCTCTGGTTGGTGACCTGCAAAAAACACTGCAAATGAAGAGGCCTGAGAAGGAGGAAGGGAGCAGCTGGGGTGAGCAGCAGTGGGCCTGGGTTCAGCACCTGCTCGCTTTGGGGGCTCTGTCTGCTCAGTGTGGGCTGGATGGACATCTCTAAGAGCAGGACAGGGGCCGACCTCTCTGAGCAAAGCTGGACTCTGTCTTCACACGGCCAAGCATGCATGCTTGGCCTGGGCCACTGCCACCAAGGCTACCACTTCCCTACTTGGCCATTTCTGTGTTCAGAAGAGGCGGAAGGCCCTCTGTGGCATTCCACCCTCTACACCCCCTTGGCAGTGGGAGCTCCGGGTTTGGGGAGCTCTGGGTGTGGGGAGCTCTGAGTTTGGGGAGCATGGCGCAGGGGAAAGACCACATGCTGGAGGTTTAACCCTTAGTGGCCCTGTGGGAACTGGACAAGGTTACTCTGTGTCAGGGACTGGTCTCCCCTCCAGGGAAATAGAGTGCACACATGGGGTTGTTACATGACACCAATGAGATTGCGTTGGAAGTGCCCACAGTGTGCCTGGTACAGAGCAGTGCCCTCCCCCCCTCTCCCGTCTCCTTCTCTTTTGTGGAACAGATTCCTCATGGGAAACTTTCAGCTCCGCTGATCATGTGCCCCTGGTCGGTAACAAGGAGGTTAAAATGAACTCTCAGCCCCAGGATTGTGTGCACGAGGGTCTTATTCTGTGTCTTCTCCACAGCTTCTAGAAAGCTCTCCCTGTCCCCCCATTTGCACCTATCTTCCCTATGGTGTCTCCCACTGGCCTGGGGAGCTCCTTGCAGACAGGGCTGGGTCTCCTCTGTCCACCTCCAGGCTCTGAAGTGGGGCCCAGCTCAGTGTGGGCAGCTGCTGTGGACAAGACCCGACCACTCTTGATAGACCCCATACTGAGCATGGCAATGGACTCTTAGTGCCTGCCGATTCAGAAGACAGTGCACATGGTCCTTCTTTTGTGCCCTCCATGGTTTTCATGGATGCTTTTCGATGAAAAATCTGGTCTTTGACTCTATCTACTGCCTGCAGTTCCTGGGACCTACCGATAACAAATAAGGCAAACTGCCCTGGCTGGTGTGGCTCAGTTGGTTAGAGCATCATCCCACAATCCAAAAGGTTTCGGGTTCAATCCTCAGGTGGAGCACATATGGAAAGCAGCCAATAGATGTTCTCTAGCAGGTTGATGATTCTCTCTCTCTCTCTCCCCTCTCCGTTTCTCTGGAATCAATTGAGCATATCCTTGGGTAAGGATTTAAAAAAAAAAAAGACAAACTAAAGAGCCATTGTTTTCTCCTTCTTGCTCTCACATCCCACACTAATGCTAAGAACAGGCTCTGCAAGCCCGCGGCCTGGCCCATGGGCAGGAGCCTCCTGCCCCCCCTGCCCCAACTGAACCTCTGAGCTACACGAGGTCACTGGCCAGTCCGGGACACAGGCTATAGGAGGAGAAAAGGGAATGGAGGAGAGGGGACAGGAAGAAAATCAGAGAAAATAAGAGCAGGGGGAGAGGAAAGGAAGGGTGGGAGCTGAAAGAAAAAAGAGAGGAGAGAACACGAGAAAAGTAGAACCCTAGGTTTGCCCTATAGCTGCACATCGTCACGGCAGCTTGGCCCTGCCGGCCTATCCAGGTAGAGCCCCGAGCGTGGTCGGATTTGGAGAAGTCCAGGGGCTCCCCGTGCCCGCTCTGTGCCCTCCTTCAGCATCCCCCCTGCCTTGGGCACAGCCTTGGGCCTCCCCTGCCTCCCAGAGCTCCGGCTTCCTGCCCTGGCCTGGAGGCTCCCCCAGGTGTGCCCGCACCCAGTCCATTGTTTGATTAATGTTCTCCGAGCTCAGGCTCATTCTGAGGCTGGCACCGGGCCCCCAGTTTCCCTAAAGAGCTAAGTGCTGACGCTGCACGCATTGGGGCCAACTTCTTTGGGGGCACAGTGGGGCCGCGTCTCTGCCTCGGAGGGACAATGAGGAAGCACAGCGTAGAGATTAAATGTCCCTGGGCAGTTATCAGCCTTGATTGGAGGCTGCAGGATAACGCAGCACCATGTCGTGGACCCTGCCAATGCCCTCCAGGCAACCTTCCTCCTGGGCAGGGAGCCGCGCTCAGCAGCGGGCCGCGGGCCTGTGACAGCGCACGGCTTCTCAGGCGACGAGGGATGCTCAGGGCCCCTCTTGTCCCCCAGTCCTGCTGGGAAGAGCAGCTAGCTCACCTCCCGCACAGGCTGGTGTATGGCCCCCACATCCGCCTGCCCTCCTGAGAGCCACTTCTCTCCTATCCTCCCAGCCCTGGGGCAGCACACAAGGAAGGAGGGAGCCAGTGAGGTGTAGATGGAAGCGAACAGAACAGAACCAGGATTAAGGAGGGTCCGCCTTGCCCGTGGCTGACGGAATGGCCTTGCGCAATGCACCTTCCATCTCCGCTGCTACAGCGGAAGACCACTGATCGCAGGATCTCCAAGTTTCCTCGGCCGTCTAGCATTTGTTGGTTTTACATGATGCAAGGGGCCTCCAGGGAATCATGGTCTGGTGGGAGGGAGAGTGGGAGCGAGCAGAAGAGAAGAGAGAGTGGGAGTGAGCAGAAGAGAAGAGAGAGTGGGAGCGAGCAGAAGAGGAGGGGGGCGGGGGAGAGGCTGAGCCCTGAACTCCAGAGTCTTCCCTGGCCTTCTTGCGGGGGATGGTGGGGAGGGAAGCCCAGCTGCTCTGGGAAAAGCACTTGACAGCCGCCCACTGCAGCTCGGCACCCACATTCCACACTCGGAGACCAGGCCCCGACCTCTGGGGAGGAAGCCTCATCTCACCTTCTGTCCTCCAGGCGTGGTGGGGGCCTCTCCATCCATCTCGGTCTAGAAATAAAGTCCACTTGCACTTTCCTCTTTCTCTCTTTGAGATGCCGGCGGTTGGACCTCTTCTAGCTTTTTCTCTTGAGACCTGCAGACTGAGGAGGCAGCAGGGGCTGGGAAGTGGCCGGAGGCAGCCCTAAGGATGGAGGTGTGAGCGCAGCTCTGCCCTCACCCCCACCCTCGCCTCAAGTCCCTTCGCCCTGGGCCTCAGGTTTTATCCCATGACGAGGGAGCCGGGCCTGGCCCCTTGGTCTTGTGGTCCCTGATTTCTGTAGAACTTCTCCTGGAGCAGTGACAGTCGTTTCAAAGAAAACACACTGGTCATAGCCGTCCACCACTTGTCACCCCTCCAGTCCCGGGTCCCAGACCTGTCAGGATGCTCCAGCTGAGCCAGCCCATGCAAGTGATGCAACCCCCGGGCAGGAGAGAAAATTCAGGAGAGGAATTCCCCGGCTGACTTGGGCAGCTGGTGCCTTCGAGCTGACCTGGCCCCTTGGACTCCCCTGCAGAGGCCGTTTGGGTCACTGACTGCAGTCCAGCTGCTCGCTGGCAGTGACTAAGTCATGCCCTGGACAAAGCCCCACACAGTGAGGGGATGACCTCGTGGAAAGAGAGCACTGAGTGTGGCTTGTCTGGCTGGATGACACGCTTGAAAAATCCCCCAATATTTCCCTTTGGAAAGATGTCATGGGTGGGTTTTGTCTCCTACAAGATGTGACCTGCCTGCTCTGCTGGTGTTAAGCTGACCTCTCAGTGGCAGGCACAGCCCAAGCCCTCAGCAGCCACAGGGCTCCTGGGACGGAGCTGCTGCAGACTGGAGTTAAGGACTCTCACCAGGACCTCGCCGACAACGTGGCACCCTTGGGCCAACGAGGAAGGATCCTTCTTCCTTAAGAAAAAGAATTTGAGCCGGTACATTGCTGCACAATTTGAATAAACACAGTGACAGCGTGTACTCTCTATGCATTTCCCCATCCAGGTAGGAAGACAGGTTGGGGTGGGGGTAGGGAGTCTCTGAAATCAAGGAAAGGAGCAACTGCCCAGGACGCCTGGGCTGGGACGAGGTGGTCTCGTGCATGTGTGTGCCCGGGAGCGCGCACAGGTGCCTGTGCTACTGTCCCAGGGCTTGGCTGGGCCCAGTCGAGAGCTCAGCATCTTCACAAACACTCGGTCTCCCGTGGACAGTAGGCCCCAGCTACGCCATGAGCGGCATCCCCAGAGCGAGGTGCGCTTGCACAGTGGGCAGGGCCCGTCAGAGGCTGTCCTAGGACGGAATGACCCTGTGCAGGGGGAGGAAGGCTTAACGCCTGGCGAGGCACCCCCCTCCCAGCTCCTCGGGGAGCCGCCTGGCATGTCGGTTGATCGATCCATGGGTTGATCACTAGACTTTGGAATCAGACTCCCTCCAAGTTAATATCGCAGCAACCCTCCCTTTTTACTGAGAAAGCGATTAGAGTCAGATTGTTTACCCTCCTTGAGCCTTGCTTTCCTAATCTGTAAAACAAGAGGCCATAGCACCTACCTCATAAAGTTATTATGGGGAAGAAGTGTGATAATCAGAAAACATTAGGTGATAAAACGTAACAGTTCAGCTTGTAACAGCAGGAAGCTGGTGTTTGTCTGGTAATGATCAAACCATTTTTTTTTAAAAAAAGTCCTTTGTGCCCGGCCGGCATGGTTCGGTGGTGTGAGTGTTGACCTATGAACCAAGAAGTAACGGTTTGATTCCTGGTCAGGGCACATGCCCGGGTGGTGGCGGGCTCGATCCCCAGTGAGGGGCATGCAGAAGGCAGCCCATCAATGATTCTCTCTCATTGTTGATTTTTCTCTCTCTCCCTCTCCCTTCCTCTCTGAAACCAATAAAAAAAAATATTTTTAAAAGTCCTTTTGAAGGCTTTCATCTGTTCAGAAGTCTGCCACTTTCTTACATTTCTTTGTTCTTTTGCCATTTTATTATTTTGGCATTTGAAAGATTAAAAAGAAATTAATCGGAACATGTCTGAATTGATTTTGTATATTAAAATAAGTATCTATCAAATGTGTATTATAAATAGTGCCGTCATTTTACACCCATGAGGCTGTCTTTCCTATTTTGCTTACTTTTGGATGCTTTGAAGACTATTTAGTTTCTAAAGACACCAGGTAATGCCAGTTAGTTGTGAAGGGCTGGGCCAGTTTCCAGGGCCTTGTCCCCGAGCCTGGACGGCTGAGCCTGGAGCTTTAAGGGCGATCACACTGCACTGGCTTCTTCTCCTGGGGGTACATCTTGCCCAGCACAAAGCCACAGATGGCCTTTGTTTTGTTTTGTTTAGTTTTATTGTTAACCCTCACCCAAGGATACTTTTTTCACTGATTTTTAGAAAGAGTGGAAGGAATGGGGAGAGACACAAAGAAAGAAACATTAATGTGAGAGAGACACATCGATTGACCCCGGAGCTCAAGCCTGCAACCAAGGTAGGTGCTCTTGACCGGAATCGAACCGGGGACCCTTCAGTCCCAGGGCCGACGCTCTGTCCACTGAGCTAAACCAGCCAGGGCCAGGTGGCCTCTTCACAAAGGCTCATGACTCTGTGATCTTCTGATTGCAGGTCCCAGACTCCAGGAAACGGCTAAGTAATACTTAGACCAAGTGCCAGATTTGGAAAGAGGTTTATCCACTCCCCATCCCGGTTTTAGCAAAGGATTTTACCTGCTAATGGGCACACAAGGGTGAGAATCAGCAGGCAGAACGCTAACCAATGCAAGGAAAGCCCTTTGTGGTATAAAAACGATCCATACTGATCCCTTCTCTTTCCAAAATGTTTCCTGGTGAGTAAATTAAGAGCAACGTACAGAGACGTATTCTGCATCGACGTGGCTGGCACTCAAAGCTGACATTCCTCCTCATACATCATCGCAACGTTTCCTGCTTACTCTGCCCACGTATTTGAGCTTTTTTCTGTCCTTGTTATTTGTGGGAGAGATGGACCCCCCGCCCCCCATCCCAATTCCTCACCAAAGCTCCGGTCAGAATACCGAATGCAGAAGAAAACACTGTTTAAAGACACTTGGGTTACTACAAGTCCTACAAATCTTGATCATTTACTTAGAAACTCCTAGAATAATGTAACTATGACACTTATCACTCCTCCGAACGATATCAGAAGGAAGTATTTGTACAGCACAAATACTACAGCCCCTTACCTTTGAGGTTCAGTTACCTGCAGTCAATTGTGGTCTGAAAAGATTAAGTGGAAAATTCCAGAAATAAACAATTCATACTTAAAAATATATACATACATATATATATATATACATACATATATATATAATCTTAGAGAGGAAGGGAGAGGGAGAGAGAGACAGCACCATCAATGATGAGATCATTAATTGGCTGCCTCCTGCACGCCCCCTACTGGGGATCCAGCCCCCACCCTGGGCATGTGCCCTGATTCATGGATCGACGCTCAACCACTGAGCCACACCAGCTGGGTCAATTCATACATTTTAAATTGTGCACCATTCCGAGGAGTGTGATGAAATCTTGCGCTGTCCTGCTCTATCGCAGGTGGGACGTGAATCCTCCCTGTGTCCAGCGTCTCCATGCCACAGACACTCTCTCCCAATAGTCATCTAGTATTTGCCATCTTGTTTACTACATGGACTGTCGAGGTATCAAAGTGCTTGTGTTCAAGTAACCCTCATAGTAGCCTAACGCTAAGTCCCATGCCTACGTCACTCACCTCACTTTATCTCATCACCTAGGTATTGTGCCATCTCATATTATGACAAAACTAGAGGCCCGATGCATGAAATTCATGCAAGAGTAGGTCTTCGTTCCCCTGGCTGCAAGCACTGGCTTCCCTCTGGCACCGGGAACCTGGGCTTTCCTTGTAGCCCCGGCTTCATCTGGAAGGACTTCTGGTCTAATTAGCATATTACCCTTTTATTATTATTATAGATGAAGAAGGGTGAGTACAGTACAATAAGAGATTTTGAGAGACAAGAGAGAGACCCCATTCACATAACTCTTATTCTAGTATATTGTTATAAATGTTCAATTCTATCATTAGTTATTATTGTTAATCTCTTCCTGTGCCTACTTTATAAATTAAGCTTTATCATAAGTATGTATGGGTAGCAAAATACATTATATAGAGAGAGTTTGATACTCTGTGGTTTCAGGCATCCACGGGGTGTCTTGGAACGTATTCCCCTGTGGATAACAGAAGACGGCTGTCCAATGGCACTTAGCAGGTTTGACAACCTCCGCCATCACGTGGCTGATAGTAAAGACTGCAATCCAGCAACATTAACACCCCTCCAGACACAACAGGCATTCGGAGGGGGCAGGAGAGCTCTGTGGCTTATGTCCACATGCACGGCTGATTAAAGCACAGGGTACAGAACCCTAGCTCATTTCCTAGAACATCGGGGCATGTGGTCTAAGACCTCAGCTCACACTCATCTCCTCATGTTTTGGGGGACAAAATTCAACCCAATAACAGGGGCAAAAAGAGGAAAGAAAAGAGCTGACAAAGTATCCCCTGGAAAACAGTTGTTGGGCACACCTGAGCAGTCTGTACCTCCCGACCTCAGAAGCTGCTGGGAGCAGCGTCCTTCCCAGCATGTCCCCGAAAATGCTTAAAACAAGTCTGATTTTACGAGCTGAGAGGGGTCAGCTTTTCACAGCTGCCAGTACGGCTGTGCCATCTGTCCCACGCAGGGGACGGACCAGGTGATCCCCCACAAATCCTTGCATTCTAAGGCACCCTCGCTGTGTTAGCTTTATTTCCAGAGCTGTACTGGGCTACCCCAGGGACCCCTTTCTCTGCCACAGACACTGGAACCGCCCACAAGCTGCAGTACTTTTTCAACTGTGAGAAGATGCTGCCACCTTGTGGCAGAAAGATGCCATGGCTCCAGTCACCATGTACCATTATTCAGACTAAGACACTTTTTTTTTTTTAAATATATTTTATTGATTTTCCACAGAGAGGAAGGGAGAGGGACAGAGA